CTGCCATTGGGAGAATGGACATTTTCCTCAGGAGTTTGGACTCAGTCTGGGAGCTTCACATGTCCCAACCCAAGTCAGAGCCTCTTCCCCCAAAACCCTTCTTCCCTGACTCCATGGCAGGGGTCCAACCAAAAACCCAGCAGCCATCCTTGCCTCCATCCCTGACCCCATCCAGCCTGGGGAGTGGGGTGGTCACTTAGCAAAGCTTTGTCTATCCACCAGCCTTCCAGTTCCACCCTACCCTCTACCCTCTACCCTGAGGCTGCCAAGCTGAGACACAGGGTGAAAGGGTGTGGATAGACCACAGGGAAAGTATTTCTAGCCTTTTTTTTTTTTGGAGAGTTTTTTGCTATAGGGCGTGTGCACTCGCCAGACAGACAGAGAGAGAGACAAAAAGAGAGGCAGAAAGTGAGAAATCACCCCCTAGGGGGGGATGGTCACGACGCAATCCCTTCTCTGGGATCTTGGGCACGCACGCACACGCGCCCAGCGTGAGTTTTAAGCCACCGGGATATGAACTGCGGTCGACTTACGTGGGAGTCCAGCGACATAGCCATTACGCTAACTGCTGGTTCCCAGGGAAAGTATTTCTGAAATTCAACCTAGCATGTCCGCCTCTGGGTGCAACCTGCACACATCCTATGGCCAAAATCTTAAAAACAAAAAATCAGAGGGCACCGCATTATTGTCACACACCTTAGTGACTCCCTTGTCCTAACAGCTGGGCCAGGTTATCATTTATAGAGTAGCAAACTACCACACTACCTTGTTACCATGCTCATGACCATGAGAGAGAGAGAGAGAGATCAACTCTATACTAACTGGAACCTCAGCTCAGGTAGTTCCGACAGCTAGACTGTTGAGCCTGGCACAGTGTGCTCCAGAAATACACAAAAACACAACGAATTGCACCCATTGTGGTATGTGATTAGTATACTAATCTGCTGAATCGACAACCCTTTTTTTGGGGGAGAGGTTTTGCTATAGGGCACATGTGCTTGCCAGAAAGAGAAAAAAAGAGAGGCAGAAAGCAAGAAATCACCCCCCAGGGGGGATGGCCACGCCACAATCCCTTCTCTTCCATTCTCCTCTCAGGATCTTGGGCAGGCACGCACACAAGCCCAGCGTGAATTTAAGCCACTGGGTCCGGGATTCAAACCGTGGTCGACTACATGGGAGTTCAATGACAGCCATTACATCAACTGCTGGTACTGGACAACCTTTTTTGTTGTTTGTTTGTTTAATGTTTTCATAGGGCATGTGACCTCAATGGAGACAGAGGAAAAGTGAGAAATCACTCTCCAAGGGGGATGACCACACTACAATCTCTTCTCCATTTTCCTTTTGGGATTTTGGACACCCACAGCCAGGCTTGATTTTCAAGCTGCTGGGTCTGGGACTCAAACTGCCATCAGCCATGTGGAAGTCCAGCACCTGAACCATCATGCCACCTGCTAGCACCATGGACAACCTATTTTAAAGATTAACTGAGGGGCTGACAGTTCTGGTGGTTGAAGGTGCTAAACTCCACATGGCCAACTGTAGTTCAAGTAACAGACCTCATAGCTTGTTTTCTCACTTTCACTTTCTCTCTCTTGCTCAGTCCCTCCCTGGTCAAATTAAAATAAGTAAATAGGAAGGAACCAGCAGTTAGCGTAATGGCTATGTCGCTGGACTCCCAGGTAGTTGACCGCAGTTCGCGTCCCGGACCCGGTGGCTTAAAACTCACACTGGGCGCGTGTGCGTGAGTGCCCAAGATCCTGAGAGGAGAATGGAGGAGAAGGGATTGCGGCGTGACCATCCCCCCTGGGGGGTGATTTCTAGCTTTCTGTCTCTATGTCTCTCTCTCTGTTGGGCGAGTGCACGCCCCCTATAGCGAAAATCTCTCCAAAAAAAAAAAAAAGTAAATAAATGAAGTTTAAAAAAAGAATGATTATTTTTTTAAATAAAAGGGGGGGGGGATGGCCATGCTGCAATCCCTTCTCTTCCATTCTCCTTGCAGGATCTTGGGCACGAACGCACACACACCTGGCATGAGTTTAAGCCACTGGGTCTGGAACTCGAACTGCGGTCGACTACATGGGAGTCCAGCGACACAGTCATTATACCAACTTCTGGTCCCAAAATAAATAATTCTAAAAAAACCCCCAAAAAACCCCAAAAACTGATGGGACCAGCAGGTAGTATGGTAGTTAAAGGCATAGAACTTCCAGATGGCTGACAGTGATTCGATTCCTGAATCTTGCAGCTTGCTTTCTTTTTCTCTCTCTCTCTCTGTCCTTATCTGGCAAAATAAAATAAAATAAATAAATGAATAAAGTGAATAAAATACTTCTGTTAAAAAAGATTAACTGAAGGCAAGAGTGGCTGGGTGATTTGCCCATGGCAGTAGCCAGACAGAAGCAAGTATGGACACAGGTTCCATTAAGACCTGTTGGGCTGTGCAGTCCGGGTGGCCCTCACTTGTCAGCCCCCTGTGGGACACCACGGGCCACAACCATTAGGGGAGGTGGACCTACAGTATAGCCGCCATCTTAGAGGCAAGGGCCCTGCTTTCCTGGGCCCAGAGGAAGGGTCTGATTCCAAATGCACAGCCACTGAGACATTCATGGGAATGTCCAGGGGATGGAGCTGAGTCAGAACTTTACAAATGAACTGGAGCAGCTGCCAGTAGACCCTGTGCTGTCAAGTGACACACGGCTTGGTTCATCTACTCCTCACTCCAGTTAAGAAAAGCAGTGGCACCCATTTTACAATGGGGTTCAGAGACAGGAGCCTCAATGTCAGCAAGGGCAAAATCCCTGGCCCTTGGAACTCACAAATTATAGTGCCTGGTCACTGCAGGGCTTTACATGCAGGCCCTGAGAGAGACTGGGGCTCACCAACTCCTCACTGTGGGTGTGCATGTCACTGTTACTCCCACCTCACAGACAGGGGAACAGGAGCCATGGCAGGAAAGACACACATCCAGGCTGAGGACACACAGCTGGACTTCGGCCACTGCCAAGCCTCAGTCAGTGCTCCCCCTCATTCCACCCCAGCCCTGACAAGGGCTGGCCACAAGAGATTTGCGGCCTCTGGAGGTCTCTGCTGGCCTGGTCACGGCAATGCTTTTGAAACAGGCATGACTCCATCTTGGAGAAGCGACTCCAGAAGTGGGGAATGAAGCAGAAATGACTCCATTTTGGAGGACGCCTCCAAATGTTAAATATAAACTGTTAAATTTCTATTACTAAAAACTTTAATTCTCTTTCTTTACCTAAGAGTAAATAGTGATTAACATTCCTATTGTCCTTAAAACCCCACTCCTCCTGGTTGCCTTAAGATGGTGGTGTGGTGGTTAAGGGCGCTGGACTCCCACAAGGCCAACTGTGGTTCTAGTCCCAGACCTGGAGGTTTGCTTTCTCACTTTCTCTCTCTTGTGCTCTCTCTCTCTCTGTGTGTCACTCTCTGGTCAAATTTAAATAAATAAAATAAATAAAGTTAAAAAAATTTTAAAAATAGTCCAGTCTCTGGGCCTTGCCCAGAGCCAATAGAGACTGAGAGTCCATTGTGTTTGCGTAGACATGGAACATACCCTTAGGGATGGTTAACCTGCTTACCAGCTTGTTTTGCCTCTGTGAGGTGCCTCTGCTTGCTTTCAAACTGTAAAGCCCTAACCTCTATCCTTTCAAGCCCACTGCCCTTTGTCCCTGTGAATCCTCATGTCATCCGGGACACAATTATGCATTTTTGGCCTATATAAGCTCCTTCCTCCTTTCACTCAGGGCTATGGGGTTTTATGCCCCCGGCTTAATCAATAAACTCCAGTAAATTTGGCTATGTCTAGATGTCCTCTTATTTCTCACTGAGTACACTAAAACACTCTCATGAGCTCAGGACAGTCCAAGAGGGCTGATGGTGGGGAGCCCTCAGCAGTCTCCGACTTTGTGCAGGGGAAGCTTCAATCAAGTGCCAAAGCTAGCACCTGCTGGGTGTGCCTGAGGGCTGAGGGGGGACCTGGGATCCAGAGGGGGTAGGGCCACCTGGGTCAAGTAGGTGCACTCCTCAGGGTCAGGCTTCCAGGGGCTCTGCCTTGGTAGGCCTCCTCTAGGCAGTGGGCAGGGGTCACTGGCTGGCCCCTGCTTGCCACACTGGGTACTTGCGGTCACTGGGCAAAGCGACCTTCACCCTACGCCAAACGTGAGGGCTGCCCCCAAAGCCACCTGCTGGACACGGCCTCGTGGCCGCTCAGCACCGGTTGTCCGCCGGGCTTCCTGCCCACTCCCGCTCAGGGGGTAAACTGAGACCTCACACCAGGCCAGGTCCTCCCAGAGGGCCCGGGGTCGGTCCTGGGCTAGAGCTGAGCTGCTCACCGAGGCTCTTCCGGGAGCAGCAGAGAGGGAGGCCAATCGCCTCCATCTAACGGCTTATCTCTCTTGCTTCTGGCTCTCGGGGGTGTCAAACAGGTTCCAAGTGGCGGCCCTTACAGCCAGGTCCGCAAACTCGAGGCTCCTGCCCGTTCCCTCAGCCAGCAAAGGCAGGGCAGAAAGAGGAGGGCGGATCGAGAGGACCTGTGGGAGGCCCTTTCCGGGGACCGCAGGGAACCTGCGCGTGCAGACCCACTCCACACAACTGGCCGCATAGCACGCGTGCTGCGAGGCAGCCTTGACCGCGGCGAGGAACAGCGGGGGATTTACCTGGCTACCCGGCTTAAAGCCGGCGGGGAATGGCGCGCGAGGTCAGCCTCTGAACCCGGGGGGAGCTCGGGCCCGACTTCTGCCCTAAGTAGACATGGCAGTCTTGGCCTCAAGGAGATTTCTGCGCTTGTGCAGGGAGCGCAAGACCGGGCAAATACTGCATATCGGACTTCCGCCAGACACGCTTTGGGTTCCGGAACCATAAGTGCGCATGCGCGCCGTCGTACGCGGACGCTTGGCACGAAAGATCGCTTTACATCCTCGCTCCGGATTGGTCTGTGCGCACTCCATGTCCTTTTACGCACACGTCGTCACCACTGACCCGGAAGTTTTAGCCTCTGCTAAAAGCGTTGGACCGCGCGGAGCGGCCTCTTCCTGTCAGTGCCAGGGCGGCGCGTGGTACACGCGGGACGGTATAGTCACCCCGGCTTTACGTTTAGGTGAGGCCGCTGAGCGGTCGGGCGTCCGCCCGGAAGGTGCGGGAGGGACAGTCCGAGGTCTTCCGCGGGACTGTGGGCAGGCCCTGGGCCTTCGGCCTTCCCTCGTTGGGTCTTGCTTTTCTCGCTCGGCAAAGAGGACGCAGGAACCAGGAGTGGGGAAGTTAATTTTGGTTTCTTGCTGTAGTCCAGCCTCCCGCCGCGGTTCCGGGTTGGGGTAGGGGCGTTGGACTGTGCAGCTGTACAATTAAGTGGGAAGCTTTCTTAGTTACGCTCTTTTAAGATATGTGGTGCGCTTGGCCCTGTACACGTTTTCGGTCTTTATAGCAGCCCCTGATGTTAGTGTCGGTGAATAGAAGCTTTAACCTTGGTTATGCAGCGGAAGTCATTCAATAACCTTAATTATAGGCTTCCCAGCTCACAGATGGGGAAACTGAGCCCAGAGCAGGTTAAAAAAAATAGCACGGCTGTAACTTGAAGACGGTATTGGGGCTTTGGCTCCACCTGCCCAGCGGTTAAAGGTTAGGCCGTGCAGCCGCCAGGTCTTGGGCCTAGGTCTCCTCAGTGGAAAACATGCTTCTTGCTGGTAGCTGAGCGAGTTGCCTAAGGTTCAAAAAAAACGTTTACATCCTTCCTTGGTCCTTTATGACTTCCCAGTTCACAGGATGGGGCCCGCTTCAGAGTGGGGTGGGTGTGTCTGAGCTTCACAGGTGGGGCCTTGACAGTTTCTTCTGTCTCCAGGATGACCGAGTGGGAGACAGCCACACCAGCTGTGGCAGAGACCCCTGACATCAAGCTCTTTGGGAAGTGGAGCACCGACGATGTGCAGATCAATGACATCTCTCTGCAGGTGAGGTGGACACGGTTTGTCCTGGCAAGGGGTTGGGGGCAAATGTGATTTCTTCCAGGTGGGGACACTTGATTTCTTCCAGGTGGGGACACAGGTTTCACGTTAAGAACTGAAGTCAAACAAGTGAAGAAGGGATTTCTGAACCACTAAACACACCTTTTTCCACTTTCCTGTTCTGTGTAAACTTGATGGCAAGTTATTTGTTTACTTATTTATTTAAAGATAGAGTTACGGGACTGGCAGGTGACATGGTGGTTAAGGGCGCTGGACTCCCATATGGCTGCCCAGGGTTCAAGTCCTGGACCTGGCGGCTCATTTTCTCACTCTCTCGCTTTCACTCTGTCCTCTCTTGTCAAAGTAAAATAAATAAAATAAACAAGTAAAATTAAAAAATAATTCTTTAAAAAAAAAAAAGACAGAGTCTTGTTATGTCGTTCTCCTTCCTCAGGCTCTCAGGTAAGTGTGACTACAGACACACACCATCACACATCTCAAGATTCGAACTTTACCCTTCTGTGTGGCCTCAGCCTGCCAAATAGCAGTGTCAAGCAGTGCATGCTACCAGGCCTGGACCATGGTTGCTACAGTTCTCATCGGAATTGGATTCCTTCTGAGGAAATAATGTCACATCCCATTTACGTTTTGTGTTTTAGCGGCAAACTGTAGAGCTTAAGACTCGCTGTAGGTGTGGCATGTGTATGGTAATCTAGGACAGCCATTGAGACTGTTCTTTCCCCAACTGAATTGTCTTGGCCTCCTTGCCAAAATATCAATGGGCCATTGATGCATATTCATATTTTGGATGCGCTCTATCTCTCTTTTTTTTTTTTTTTTCTTTTCCCCAATTTCCAGAGGGTATGTGAGCTTGGCAACAGAAAGCACCCCCATCCCCAGTGGCACTTGGTCATGCTGCAGTCCTTTTTCCTCCATTTTCCATCTTACCAGGATCCCAGGTTCACACCACTGGACCTAGAACTCCAAATGCACATGGCCTGTGGGAGCCTGCTCCCTGTGCACAGCACTCACTGCACCACAAGGTCTGCCCCCGCTTTCCATTTTATTCCACCGATATCTGTCTGCACTTATGCCAGTCCCATACTGTTGTTTTTCCCTGCGCATAGCATGCCTGAATATGTCTTTTGCTGTGATAGTTTTAAGGTATGAGGCTGACAGGTGGCTTAGAATTGGGACCAGCAGTTGGCGTAATGGCTAGCCAACTGCAGTTTGAGTCCAAGACCCTGTGGCTGGGTCTAGAACTTCAATCAGGTAGTTGGCCATGTTGCTTCTTTACCTACCATGCCTCACTGTTAAAAAACTGAACTCATGTGACCAGGAAGTGGTGTGGTCATTAAGGTGCTAGACTCCCACGTGGTCAACTGTGGTTGGAGTCCCAGACCTGGCAGCTTGATAATCATGCTGGGCACATGTGTGTATGTCTGCCCAAAATCCTGAGGGGAAAATGGAAGAGAAGGTACTGTGACATGGCCATCCCCCTTGGAATGGTTTCTCACTTTCACTCACTGTCTCTCTCTTTGATAAGCACATGCATCCTATGGCAAAAACTTTTATAAAAAAAAAATGTGGGCTCAGGCTCTGATCTCCTAAACTTCCCACCTCTTCCCTCCCATTACAAAAGAAATATCTTTTATTTACTTGGTAAAGTCACTTGCTTAGGTTTTGTTTTTCATGGGGCTGGTGAAGCTCACATCCAAGTCCCCTGGGGAGGCACTTGGGTCTGCAGGTCACTGGAGTGAGTGCACAACTCCTCCAAGCCTTGGCTGGGTCTCACCCTGGTCACCACGATTGTTCTTCATCCTCCCGCCCCAGGATTACATCGCAGTGAAGGAGAAGTATGCCAAGTACCTGCCCCACAGTGCAGGGCGATATGCTGCCAAGCGCTTTCGCAAGGCACAGTGCCCCATCGTGGAGCGCCTCACCAACTCCATGATGATGCATGGGCGCAACAACGGCAAGAAGCTCATGACTGTACGCATCGTCAAGCACGCCTTTGAGATCATCCACCTGCTCACGGGCGAGGTATGACTGGCAGGCAGGGGCAGGACAGGGTAGAGGAGCCAGGGCCAGAGGTCAGGTGCGTGACCCTCTCCTCTCCTAGAACCCTCTGCAGGTCCTGGTGAATGCCATCATCAACAGTGGTCCCCGGGAAGACTCCACACGCATCGGGAGAGCTGGGACAGTGAGGCGGCAGGCTGTGGATGTGTCCCCACTGCGGCGTGTGAATCAGGTGGGCTTGGAACTGGAGAGAGACAGGATGGGGCAGCACCAGGAATAGGTGGAGTCTTGCCTAGGGCTGGAAAACTCATCCCTGTCTGCATGTTTTACTTGGAACATCACTTCCTCCAGGAAGCTTTCTCGGATTCCCACCCCATGCTGGGCAGATCCCATCTCTGAGCCCTCTCTTAGGTCACATCTGGCTGAACTCTGGTTTCGTTCCTGTGTGTATATGTGTCTGTGTGTACACACTTTAAGGAGGATGGTGTATATCCATCATCACCCCAAGGAATTTAACAGCATAGAATGTTGAATCCATCCCTGTTCTGTGGGTGCCTCTATTCCTTCACTGCCCGCTCAGGGGCCCAGGGCCAGAGCATACATTGTACCTACCTTCAGCCCACGGATCTGGACGCAAGCTCTCGTGGCTATTTGTCTGATCTGGCATGACAATGTGGTAGCCAATAGCTGGGGTCCTGGAGGGCTGCTATCTTGCCATCTTAGCCTGACCTCGTGTCCCCCAGGCCATCTGGCTGCTGTGTACAGGCGCCCGTGAAGCTGCTTTCCGAAACATCAAGACCATCGCCGAGTGCCTGGCAGATGAACTCATCAATGCTGCCAAGGTGGGTGGGGTTGCTGGGGGTCTCAGTTGAGTGTTTGGGGTCCTCCGGCTCAGCGCTGACCCTCTGTCTCCTTGCAGGGATCCTCCAACTCCTATGCCATCAAGAAGAAGGATGAGCTGGAGCGTGTGGCCAAGTCCAACCGCTGATCCCACTGCTGCCCAATAAACCTGCCAGCCTCGGGTGGCCATCACCTGTGCCTGTGTCTGTCCTCGGTGGTCCCTTCACCTGTGCCTGTCCTGGGGGGTACTTGCTGTGAGGCAACATGGCCTGTGGGGATCTGGATTCACTGGGAAGCATGCTGACCAGCCCTGGCTCTCCGAGGCTAGCAGCCACGTGCAGTGCAGAGGCCCAGGTTCCCCACCCACCCACCTACCCACCCAGTAATACCGTCAGTGACAACCTGGGTTGTGTCAGCCTCTGTGGGCCTGCTGAAGGGATTGGGTTCTCCTAGAGGCCTGGCTGGCAGCATGCTGTCCTGGAAGCAGCTCCCAGTAGAGGATACAGAGGCCACGGCTGTTCCTGGGCTCCAAAGGCCCACCCTGTCATGGCCTGGCCACATGCTAGCCAGGCTACTGCTGAGCCATTGGTGGTTGCTGGTGTACCACACCCTGCAGGGCAGCACCACTAGGACATCCAGCCTCCCCTCCCTCCACCTGCAGCCACTAGGCTGCTGCGGATAGGTTTGGGTACAACCAGAAACCACAAGCTGGTGGCCCGCATGTGACAGGCTAATGTTTCAGGCCTCAGAGTGATTTGTGACCCTAGTCCTGTGCTGTCACTGACATCCTGCCACTGTCCTAGTGGGGCTGGCTGGGAGGTGGGGCGGGCGGTTGGACGAGTCTGGCGGGTGGCACCCTACCCCGGGAGGGGCGGTTAGACACCATCTGCAAGTAGGCCGCAGATGGGCCAGAACAGCAGGGAGCAGCCACCGGCCGGAGCGAGGCGGCGGCA